GGGCACTGGTTTAGAGGGTTTAGAAGGACAAATAGGAGTTGGTCAGGAACATGCAAGAGGGAGCAGGGTGGGCATTCCAAAGAGAATTAACTTGGGGTGCAAGGGCTCAGAGGAGAGCAAGCAAGACAGCTGGCACCACTACAGACGTCACTTCTCTTTGGACACCCCTCTCCCTCTCCCCTGTTTTCTTTTTGGTCGGGCAAAGGGGATACTCTGTCCATTGGGCCCAAGAGGATCCAGCAGGACAGCTTAGAGATCAAAGACTCGAAGGACCTTTGGCACGGCCAAGGGTCTGGCTCTCACTGTCTTCATCATCATCACCATATTGTTCAACACAGCTTCCTCCTCTTCCCAGAGCCAACTCCTACTCACCCTTCAACACCCACTGCCAATGCCCCTTCCAGGAGAACTAGCCAGGCCCACCACACAGGTTGTACGCTAGCTCCTCACTGCTTAAAGCCCCCTCCCCACCTTCTGCTTCACCTCCCGACCCCCCCCAGGAGACACTCAGTCTATGTCGGACTCCACCCCACCACCACAGAGGGGGCCAAGAAAAGCAATTTCACTTACAGCCAAGGTCTGAAGAGTCAGCTTCTGGGTAGGGTTGGGTTCAGAGTTGTACAGCTAGCTGCAAGGTCGGTGGTTCAAACCCACTAGCTGTTTGTCCGTCAAGGGAAAGCTGACACTCTTCCCCTGTAAGATTTACAATCCCGGAAATCCGAGGGGCGCTATGACTTGGAAAAGACTCAATGGCGGTGGGTTTGGGGTTTGGGAGCCCCCGGGTATTACAAGTTATGTGCTCAGCTACTCATGAGAAGGTGGGTTCCCAGGCAGAAATGCCTTGGAAGAAAGGCTTGACATCTAATGGGAAAAAAACAAAAACAAAAACAAACCAAAAACATCAGTCGCCCCCAAATCTTAGGGAGCCCTCCTGTCATGTGACACGCATGACAACTGCTTTCTGAGGCTTTTTCTTTCAAAACATATAATTACCACATGTACTCGAATTCACCACGCGAGGGCGGTGTTGGACTATTTTCGGAGGCAAAGTCCAGCGCCCCAACATTCAGCCCAAAGGAAATTTGGAAACGTTGCGGAGTGGGGGCAGTGGGGGGGATGTCGGACATCCTCCCTCTCTGTCTGGAGGCTACCTCTCCTGGACCCTGGTCCTGTGTCTCCCCTCCATCATCTTTCTATTTCCTGGATGATCTCATCTCCTCCCCGGACTCCTCAGGAGGAACATCTCCTCGCCCAGCGTGGCCCCAAGCCCCTGAGAAGAATCCCTGCTCCTCAACCTGCCCTTGGAGGCGGTGTGCACCCTGACTTCTTCCCAGTGACGCCATTAAAGGTGGTGTTGCCTAGTGGCCCTCCCCCCTCTGCCCCCGCCACTAGACTGACAGCCACCCCATCCCACCCACCAGAGGAGGAAGTACTGCCCCATCCGGCCCCATCCTCTCATTTGTTGTGTGAGCCCATGGTTGTAGCCACTGTGTCCACCCATCTCGTCGACGGGCCGCCCCCCTTGTTCACTGACCTTCCGCTCGACAAAGCGCGAGGTCCTTTTCCAGGGACTGGGCTCTTCTAGTAACACACCCCACAGTACAGGGATCTCACCGTCCCCGATTCTAAGGAACATTCTGGCTGGGTTCTTAGCCAAGGGCAAACTGTTTGAGCCCAACCGAGCCAACCAGAGTTGACAGCGGTTCCAACCCACCCGGTGGCACTGTGGAAGAAAGGCCTGGTCACCTGTGGGGTACCAGCCCCTATAACCAAATGGGTGCAAGGGTAGTTGTGTCATTGAGGGGTGCGTGAGTCTGGGT